AGACCAATTGGAATGAGTATGATCAATGAATTCTTTTACCAGAATTTTATCGGTTTATATCTTTCTGATTTAACTCTCCCATTTACTGTTTCTCACGTATTACGAGCAAACCATACATATGTTTCATGGAAAACAAACAAGGATTATGTGGTTCCCTTAGTTAACATGCGACGCTCTAGTGCTCAACTATCTCGGGCTATCGGGAGGCATGGACCGAAAACGGGATTCTTTGGTTTTCAAAATTTATCTTTTTCTTTACAAGAATTCTTCTCATAAAAAAACTAGAACGTCCAAGGATACTTCAAACGTTCAAACAACTTCTGCCTTTTTGAACTATAACTTAAAAAAACTCTAAGCATGTTTATACGTTTTTTATTTATTACCTTTAACAACGTAACTTTCTCATAACTCTCTCGTGATGAACGAGAGCCTCCTTATACAATATGACTCTTTCATCATGAACGAACGCATCCATGGGCTTCACGGAAAAAAGGAATTATGTACTTTGTTATAATCGTTTCTACAAAGATAACATTTATTAGGCTAAGAAATTTGAAAATAAATATATTTGAGTGATTAGGAAATGACAAGTCGAGAATTCATTGATCATACTCATTCCAATTGGTCTGGAACAACCATGACATTTATAATTTTGACCATCCAACCCTTTATCAAGGGCTATATTGTTAATTAACGACAGTAACTTCATACGTCGTTCTTGCTGAACACCTTCAGGTGAAGTAGGATCATCAATAATCTGTTATATACAAAACATAATTTATCCATAGAATCATAGCAAAGTTACGATGGACAGATGAGAGTTATTAACGCTATAAAACTTAAATTCAATATATCGTATAAAGTACCTCAAATCCCGACGATTTCTCGTATCGAAAGGATTCTAAAGTAAAGATGAAAATTAAGATGAGAAATTTCGAAGAATTGAAACTAGAGAATTTTTCAACAAAAATGTTGAAAATACCTGTACACTACCATAAGATTCTTCAATGTCTATACTCTAAAATAATAATCATTAAAACGACAATTTCAAAAGCATAAAAACTAAGTATTTGTAACATTGGTGAAAGATACAGGATGAACATGAAACCTTCTCAGAAGACGATGGAACGAGACCATAACCATTTGATGTGAACTTCTTTCAAACAACGTTTGCGTAATCCGTTAGCATACCATGACCTTCTGGTTTAGGCGACGCTTTACTAGCAACCTCCTCAACGTCTTCAGGACAATTAACGTATACTGAACTGGTGTCACAAGGCTCAATGACGATGACCAACCACTAGCCATACCTAACATGTTACCACCAGAGTTCTTTCTTGGGTAGATCAAGGTTTTAGGAACTTCAGACAAGGGTTGTGTTGAGCTGAGAACTAAAAGAACAAATATGGATAGATGATGAAGTGGAGAACAAGAATAGAGGTTATAGAAGACACACTACGTATGCCCATTGGTGTTTCACAAGAGTATACATTACAGGATAACTATGGATCCAAGTAGTCTAAACAACTAGGTACATTTAAGCAATCCATCTTTCCCATCGTAAACACAAGTGTCAAAAAAACGTGATCAAATTACAAAATTCGTGCAATCAAATAGTCGGACATGGTATTGTATTTGTAGAAGAGAGCCAATAAAATAAAAAGATTCTCTTCGGGCATTTGTAAATATTAGTTTAGAAATACAGATCGACTAATTATAAAGGCAGAAGATGTAGGAGTGAATAAAAACCATTTCCCGTCAAATCAAAGGAAAGCTTGGATATGACATGCAATATGCAGGTATAAAGTTGTAGAGAAAAATAAAAAACATTTTTAACGTTGTCACGGATATTACGAGTGCCGTAACAAAGTGTTGACGAGTTTCACATGCATTTGTCAAAACAAGCTTAAGTAGACAAAGAGCATGCCAAAAATACATGATGGAAAACTTGCTCAGCGCATCTACAAGCACCAATTTCAGAGCTCGCTCTGTCACAAATTAATTGAGAATCTGAGCATGCCTGTTCAACTCCACAAACTCTCCAAGCTCATGGTAACGACCAACTGGATATACTAGTACCGATTTTGGAGTAATTAGCTCGCTCAGTCACACGTTTTAAGACAAATCATCTGCGCAGGCGCAGTCTCATTGAGCATGCGCAGTCAACTTGACCAGCTACCTAAGTTCATGGTCATGGCAACGAACAACTGCATCTACTAGCACCGATTTTGAAGTAAATAGCATGCTTAGTAACAATTTAATAGAAATCGTCTGCGCATGCGCTCTAGCATGCGTAGTCCACTCGAGTAATTGTTCATAGTCATGACAACGACCAACTATATGTACTTGCACTACATTTGTGTCAATTAACTCACTTAGTCGCAAATTATCAAAGAAATCATCTGGGCATGCGTAGTAACGATAACAATCATCCCACAACTTTCGTACGCCTTTAAATTTTGGTATATATATATAAAGCTAAAACTTCATATAGTAGATATCAACTAGCAGTGGAAGCTGGGTGCGATATAGTATGCAGTGGCTTAGGGGCCCACACTTCGGTGGCGACCGCACTCTCCCTGCGTACCCTGAGCAAAGCCTATCGCAGGTGAACTCAGGGTCTGATGGGCGGAAGTTTGCTATTGGCATCTCCCAAGTAGGATAGCGTGGAGGGGCCGAAATCTCCTACCGAAACGTTAACATGCGGCGTTCTAGTGCCTTGCGCTTAAGAAGGTATCGGGAAGCATGGACCGAAAACGGGGTTTTTTGCTTTCGAATTTTATCTTTTTGTTTTCTTCTCATAAAACAAACCAAGCAATGTTTCAATTAACTTCTTATGACCCTGTCTTCCTCTGACACTTATAATTAAAGACAACCTTAAACATGTTTTATACCAATTTTATCGGTTTATATCTTTCTGATTTAACTCTCCCACTTACTGTTTCTCATGTATCACGAGCAAACCATCCATATGTTTCATGGAAAACAAACAAGGATTATGTGGTTCCCTTAGTTAACAAGCGACGCTCTAGTGATCAACTATCTATGGGTATCGGGAGGCATGGACCGAAAACGGGATTCTTTGGTTTTCAAAATTTATCTTTTTCTTTGCAAGAATTCTTCTCATAAAAAAAACTAGAACGTCCAAGGATACTTCAAAGCTTCAAACAACTTCTGCCTTTTTGAACTATAACTTAAACAAACACTAAGCATGTTTATATGTTTTTTACTTAGTACCTTTTACAACGTATTTTTATCATAACTCTCTCGTGATGAACGAGAGCCTCATTATACAATATGACTCTTTCATCATGAACGAACGCATCCATGGGCTTCACGGAAAAAAGGGATTATGTACTTTGTTATAATCGTTTCTACAAAGATAACATTTATTAAGCTAAGAAATTTGAAAATAAATATATTTGAGTTATTAGGAAATAACAAGTCGAGAATTCATTGATCATACTCATTCCAATTGGTCTGAAACAACCATGACATTAATAATTTCGACCATCCAACCCTTTATCAAGGGCTATATTATTAATTAACGACAGTAACTTCATACGTCGTTCTTGCTGAACACCTTCAGGTGAAGTAGGATCATCAATAATCTGTTATATATAAAACATAATTTATCCATAGAATTATAGCAAAGTTACGATGAACAGATGAGAGTTATTAACGCTATAAAACTTAAATTCAATATATCGTATAAAGTACCTCAAATCCCGACGATTTCTCGTATCGAAAGGATTCTAAAGTAAAGGTGAAAATTAAGATGAGAAATTTCGAAGAATTGAAACTAGAGAATTTTCAACAAAAATGTTGAAAATACCTGTACACTACCATAAGATTTTTCAATGTCTATGCTCTAAAATAATAATCATTAAAACGACAATTTCAAAAGTATTTGTAACATTGGTGAAAGATTCAGGATGAACATGAAACCTTCTCAGAATACGATGGAACGAGACCATAACCATTTTATGTGAACTTCTTTCAAACAACGTTTGCGTAATCCGTTAGCATACCATGAAAACTACCTTCTGGTTTAGGCGACGCTTTACTAGCAACCTCCTCAACGTCTTCAGGACAATTAACGTATACTGAACTGGTGTCACAAGACTCAATGACGATGACCAACCACTAGCCATACCTAACATGTTACCACCAGAGATCTTTCTTGGGTAGATGAAGGTTTTAGGAACTTCAGACAAGGGTTGTGTTGAGCTGAGAACTAAAAAAGAACAAATATGGATAGATGATGAAGTGGAGAACAAGAATAGAGGTTATAGAAAACACACTACGTATGCTCATTGGTGTTTCACAAGAGTATACATTACAGGATAACTATGGATCCAAGTAGTCTAAACAACTAGGTACATTTAAGCAATCCATCTTTCCCATGGTAAACACACGTGTCAAAAAAACGTGATCAAATTAAAAAATTCGTGCAATCAAATAGTCGGACATGGTATTGTATTTGTAGAAGAGAGCCAATAAAATAAAAAGATTCTCTTGGGGCATTTGTAAATATTAGTTTAGAAATACAGATCGACTAATTATAAAGGCAGAAGATGTAAGAGTGAATAAAAACCATTTCCCGTCAAATCAAAGGAAAGCTTGGATATGACATGCAATATGCAGGTATAAAGTTGTAGAGAAAAATAAAAACATTTTAACGTTGTCACGGATATTACGAATGCCGTGACAAAGTGTTGACGAGTTTCACATGCATTTGTAAAACATGTTTCACATGCATATGGAGGATAAAGTTTTAGATAACATGGTTAAATAACATTAGCGAAACTTTCAATAAAAGATCACTCCTGACAAATCATAAGACTGGAGCATATTGTGACTCAAGTTTCAACATTCGATCACTCCTGATGAAGACACTACGCTAGAGTATATGTAAACTTATCTTTCAACAACATATCGTTCATGCTCAAGATATTAGACTGACGTACGACAATCTCTAATATCATATAAATCTCGATAAAAAATCTGGTCCCCGGAGTTGACATGCTATCAGATAGGCAACAAACAAAGATGAGATAGCAGTACAAACCTGTATTATCGCAGCAAAGCTTCAAATCTTTAACAAGATGATTATAGATGTATAACATGAAAATAGCGATCAATATTAGTAAAGTTGGCTTAAGGATGTAATTTAATGTAAACATACGTTGAAATTAAACAGTTACAATTAACTATATCGTATAAATATCCTTCCCTATTTAAAATAATCTACACATTATCCTCAATAACGAACTATACACATTGCTGCATTTGACCTCAGGTGTGTTGGGAAACGTCATGTAAGGAGTCTCAAAGTACCAATATAAATTAGCAAACTTTGTGATCTATCTTACCAAATTGACTTAAATTGAGCAATAAAAATCTTAATCTTCAACAAAGCATATCAAAAGATTTCTATGAATGTATAAAAGTATACAATCGTTAAAAAGATCACGCTTGCACGCTTTTTTCTTCACCAACTGAGCAAAGATTCTCTTTTTCTTTGAACTGCTTGTCAACAATCATTGAAAGATTATTCAAAAACTCTTCTGAGGTTATCGTTTGTGCCTATTACGTAGGTTTGAGGGACAATGTAAGTACATGCATGTACAACAAAGAACACAGGTGAAGGCTTTAATTCGTATTACTTACTTTCGAATACAGCGCATGTGCAAGGAATGGCAGTTTACGAAGAGTTCGACCACTTAGTTGATAACTTTTCGTAAACAAGAAAATGAGAGAAAGAATACTTCGTAGGTTTATCACAGTGAGACGCTTGACTGCTCCTTGCAAGTTCAAAAGGAGAAGAGCCTCCCAAAGAAACCTAACCAAAAGTCAACCAATATTCGTGATTATTTGAGAGTGGTCCATTACTTGATAATTACTGACTACGATAACAAAGAAAAAACATCTTTACGCCTTAAATGTAGATGTAATACAAAGTTAAATTTTATTTATGTTGCAAGTATTAAGACGGTATATTTTAAACCTCAGTCCTAAATTATTTGAGAACTCATCTGAACATGCACAAACAACTCAACAAACTGTTCGAGTTTACAATCATGGCAATGACAAACAGAACAAGCTTGCATCCTTCTGTGGTTCATTTGGTCACATATTGGGGAAATCATATATTTCAATCATAATGAGAAATTTAGTCATTTAACAAATTTTTCATATTCATAGTGATGGCAACAACAAGCTGGACCTATTTTCATCACTTTCTGAGTAATTAATCGCTTCGTCACAAAAATATAAGAAGATCATCTGAGCATGCGCAGTACGCTAGGGCATGCGCAGCACGCTCAAGCATGCAAAGTCCACTTGACCAATTGTCCGAGTTGATAGTCATGGAAACGACCAACTACATTTACTAGCATCAATTAGGGAGTATATAACTTGCTTATTAACAAATTATTAAAGATATCAACTGAGCATGCGCAGTTAAATTGATTGGCTGCCAATGTTCATGGTCATGGCAACGACCAATTGCATCTACTAGCCCCGATTTTGAAGTAAATAGCATGTTTAGTAACAATTTAATGGAGAAATCATCGCTCGTGCGCATGCGCAGCCCACTCGACTAATTGTTTATAGTCATGGCAACGACTAACTAGATGTACTTGCACTACATCTGGGGCAATTATCCCACTTAATCGCAAATTATCAAAGAAATTATCTGGGCATGCGCAGTTGTGACTATAATAATACCACAACTTTCGTAAGCCTCTAAATTTTTGTATATATAAATATAAATCTATAGCTTCATATAGTAGATGTCAACTATCAGTGGAAGCTGGGTGCGATATAGTATGCAGTGGCTTAGGGGTCCACACTTCGGTGGCGACCGCACTCTCCCTGCGTACCTCGAGCAAAGCCTATCGCAGGTGATCTCGGGGTCTGATGGGCGGAAGCTTGCTATTGCATCTCCCAAGTAGGATAGCGTGGAGGGCCGAAATCTGCTACCGAAACGTTAACATGCCGCGTTTTAGTGCCTTACGCTTAAGAAGGTATCGGGAAGCACGGACCGAAAACGGGGTTTTTTCCTTTCAAAATTTGTCTTTTTTCTTTACAAGAATTCTTCTCATAAAAGAAACTAGAACATACTGCCAAGGTTCAGACAACTTCTGAAAATCCCCCGGGCGTAGTTTCGTTTTCTTTGTAAAACGAGAAGAATACTAACTTGAAAACATGAAGACTGGGTGACATAATATTTACCATAAACGAAGACAAGAAATGTTTATTTTACTCTGTGACATCACTTTACTTTAAAGTGAAAGGTTTGAACATGGGAGTATCGTTACATGTTTGTAGATGTAGATCGTCCAGGTTAGTAAAGTCCTGAAAAGAACTGTTGTTGTTGATGCTGACTCTAAAGATGACTACCGCTAAGGTTGTTGAGAAGTCAGTCAACATCAACATCAACAGTCCTTCGCAGGACTCCACTAACCTCGACGATCTACATCTAAACATCTACTTCACTTACTCGGCTATCTTCTTTAATTCAAGACTACAGTGTGTTACATCGTTGTCGACAAAGCTACAATGGAAAATAGGAGAAAAAGTTGTACATCGGAAATGAAAACCATGTCATCAACATAGAAGTGAACAAAAATTTCTAACAAACCGTTAAATTTCCAGAGCTCTACATACACAATTAAGGACAAATATAAGAAGAAAAAACACCGTCAATTTTTGTCAAAATAAAATTTCGTGTATTTTTCAGTTGTACCTTAAATCCAAAATTTGAGTGGCTGGTGATATGATACTGGTCTGTGATGAAACGGTGAACATTAATTTTGATTATTAAAAATTATCTACAATGCAATCGTTTGCAATCAATTTCTATATAGCTGCACCTCTCTATTTAAGCAACATGTTTGTATAACTTGCACAAACGACTATATTGTGGTATGGAAATAAAACAGTAGACGTAAAGGTACAAAGTACTGAGAAGAGGGATATACTTCACGAGGCAAATTGTTGTTTTATATTGTATATGATGACAGGTTGCGGTAAGCCATTTCGGCGTTCCTTTGGCCAGAAAACATAATTGACCGGCAGCCATTTCGTTGATCACGTGCACAAGAAGACATAAGTTACATACAAACAAATAGTGCTGTTTCAACTATATTTTTTCTTATCCTGTGGTAAAAACATTGAATACCCTACCCTTACAAGTTCCTCGATGCAAGAATGGTAAATTTTGTAAATAGCTTTGGCTGATGGCGGACCAAGATACTGTTTGATGTCGGCTCTGTGGGCGAACAAATAGCGAAGTTAGATGAGAAAGTGAATTAAAAAACTTTCGAGTCACAAACATATTTTTCAACCTGTCCACGAACGCAACGTCTATGGCTCTAGTTATGTTCGATGTTGTCAATATAATTACATTAGGATGTCTGAAATAAGAAGAAAACAACATTGGGGAAGACTAGGTTTAGCAAATAAACGCATAAATGTAGTTCAAATCAAGACTTCTGTAAATACGTAATTGATAGATAATAAGTATTTGACTGAGCAAAGTTGTCATCAAGCAAGTTTGTTCATGTCATATAAATATTTTCGTGCTTTTACTCCTGTAAAAGCGACAATATTGTAGAGAAAGAAATAATACATAGTTCTAAAGATAGCAAATACCATAGTGAATGGTAAATGTAATATAATAAGTTGATAAAGACTGTTGTCTTGGCATTATAAATATCGGTAGATTGTAAATTTTCATTCAGCAGACGTTGACACCTGAGGAGTAGTCTGCCGAAATGCATCGTGTCGTTTAATTTAGAACTATTGGGTTAGTGCTCTTTACAAAGAAAACGAAACTACGCCCGGGGGGATTTTCAGAAGTTGTCTGAACCTTGGCAGTATGTTCTAGTTTCTTTTATGAGAAGAATTCTTGTAAAGAAAAAAGACAAATTTTGAAAGGAAAAAACCCCGTTTTCGGTCCATGCTTCCCGATACCTTCTTAAGCGTAAGGCACTAAAACGCGGCATGTTAACGTTTCGGTAGCAGATTTCGGCCCCTCCACGCTATCCTACTTGGGAGATGCAATAGCAAGCTTCCGCCCATCAGACCCCGAGATCACCTGCGATAGGCTTTGCTCGAGGTACGCAGGGAGAGTGCGGTCGCCACCGAAGTGTGGACCCCTAAGCCACTGCATACTATATCGCACCCAGCTTCCACTGATAGTTGACATCTACTATATGAAGCTATAGATTTATATTTATATATACAAAAATTTAGAGGCTTAAGAAAGTTGTGGTATTATTATAGTCACAACTGCGCATGCCCAGATAATTTCTTTGATAATTTGCGATTAAGTGGGATAATTGCCCCAGATGTAGTGCAAGTACATCTAGTTAGTCGTTGCCATGACTATAAACAATTAGTCGAGTGGGCTGCGCATGCGCTCGTGCGCATGCGCAGATGATTTCTCCATTAAATTGTTACTAAACATGCTATTTACTTCAAAATCGGGGCTAGTAGATGCAATTGGTCGTTGCCATGACCATGAACATTGGCAGCCAATCAATTTAACTGCGCATGCTCAGTTGATATCTTTAATAATTTGTTAATAAGCAAGTTATATACTCCCTAATTGATGCTAGTAAATGTAGTTGGTCGTTTCCATGACTATCAACTCGGACAATTGGTCAAGTGGACTTTGCATGCTTGAGCGTGCTGCGCATGCCCAAGCGTACTGCGCATGCTCAGATGATCTTCTTATATTTTTGTGACGAAGCGATTAATTACTCAGAAAGTGATGAAAATAGGTCCAGCTTGTTGTTGCCATCACTATGAATATGAAAAATTTGTTAAATGACTAAATTTCTCATTATGATTGAAATATATGATTTCCCAATATGTGACCAAATGAACCACAGAAGGATGCAAGCTTGTTCTGTTTGTCATTGCCATGATTGTAAACTCGAACAGTTTGTTGAGTTGTTTGTGCATGTTCAGATGAGTTCTCAAATAATTTAGGACTGAGGTTTAAAATATACCGTCTTAATACTTGCAACATAAATAAAATTTAACTTTGTATTACATCTACATTTAAGGCGTAAAGATGTTTTTTCTTTGTTATCGTAGTCAGTAATTATCAAGTAATGGACCACTCTCAAATAATCACGAATATTGGTTGACTTTTGGTTAGGTTTCTTTGTGAGGCTCTTCTCCTTTTGAACTTGCAAGGAGCAGTCAAGCGTCTCACTGTGATAAACCTACGAAGTATTCTTTCTCTCATTTTCTTGTTTACAAAAAGTTATCAACTAAGTGGTCGAACTCTTCGTAAACTGCCATTCCTTGCACATGCGCTGTATTCGAAAGTAAGTAATACGAATTAAAGCCTTCACCCGTGTTCTTTGTTGTACATGCATGTACTTACATTGTCCCTCAAACCTACGTAATAGGCACAAACGATAACCTCAGAAGAGTTTTGAATAATCTTTCAATGATTGTTGACAAGCAGTTCAAAGAAAAGAGAATCTTTGCTCAGTTGGTGAAGAAAAAAGCGTGCAAGCGTGATCTTTTAACGATTGTATACTTTTTATACATTCATAGAAATCTTTGGATATGCTTTGTTGAAGATTAAGATTTTTATTGCTCAATTTAAGTCAATTTGGTAAGATAGATCACAAAGTTTGCTAATTTATATTGGTACTTTGAGACTCCTTACATGACGTTTCCCCAACACACCCGAGGTCAAATGCAGCAATGTGTATAGTTCGTTATTGAGGATAATGTGTAGATTATTTTAAATAGGAAGGATATTTATACGATATAGTTAATTGTAACTGTTTAATTTCAACGTATGTTTACATTAAATTACATCCTTAAGCCAACTTTACTAATATTGATCGCTATTTTCATGTTATACATCTATAATCATCTTGTTAAAGATTTGAAGCTTTGCTGCGATAATACAGGTTTGTACTGCTATCTCATCTTTGTTTGTTGCCTATCTGATAGCATGTCAACTCCGGGGACCAGATTTTTTATCGAGATTTATATGACATTAGAGATTGTCGTACGTCAGTCTAATATCTTGAGCATGAACGATATGTTGTTGAAAGATAAGTTTACATATACTCTAGCGTAGTGTCTTCATCAGGAGTGATCGAATGTTGAAACTTGAGTCACAATATGCTCCAGTCTTATGATTTGTCAGGAGTGATCTTTTATTGAAAGTTTCGCTAATGTTATTTAACCACGTTATCTAAAAACTTTATCCTCCATATGCATGTGAAACATGTTTTTACAAATGCATGTGAAACTCGTCAACACTTTGTCACGGCATTCGTAATATCCATGACAACGTTAAAAATGTTTTTTATTTTTCTCTACAACTTTATACCTGCATATTGCATGTCATATCCAAGCTTTCCTTTGATTTGACGGGAAATGGTTTTTATTCACTCTTACATCTTCTGCCTTTATAATTAGTCGATCTGTATTTCTAAACTAATATTTACAAATGCCCCAAGAGAATCTTTTTAATTTATTGGCTCTCTTCTACAAATACAATACCATGTCCGACTATTTGATTGCACGAATTTTTTAATTTGATCACGTTTTTTTGACACGTGTGTTTACCATGGGAAAGATGGGTTGCTTAAACGTACCTAGTTGTTTAGACTACTTGGATCCATAGTTATCCTGTAATGTATACTCTTGTGAAACACCAATGAGCATACGTAGTGTGTTTTCTATAACCTCTAATCTTGTTCTCCACTTCATCATCTATCCATATTTGTTCTTTTTTAGTTCTCAGCTCAACACAACCCTTGTCTGAAGTTCCTAAAACCTTCATCTACCCAAGAAAGATCTCTGGTGGTAACATGTTAGGTATGGCTAGTGGTTGGTCATCGTCATTGAGTCTTGTGACACCAGTTCAGTATACGTTAATTGTCCTGAAGACGTTGAGGAGGTTGCTAGTAAAGCGTCGCCTAAACCAGAAGGTAGTTTTCATGGTATGCTAACGGATTACGCAAACGTTGTTTGAAAGAAGTTCACATAAAATGGTTATGGTCTCGTTCCATCGTATTCTGAGAAGGTTTCATGTTCATCCTGAATCTTTCACCAATGTTACAAATACTTTTGAAATTGTCGTTTTAATGATTATTATTTTAGAGCATAGACATTGAAAAATCTTATGGTAGTGTACAGGTATTTTCAACATTTTTTTGTTGAAAAATTCTCTAGTTTCAATTCTTCGAAATTTCTCATCTTAATTTTCACCTTTATTTAGAATCCTTTCGATACGAGAAATCGTGGGGATTTGAGGTACTTTATACGATATATTGAATTTAAGTTTTATAGCGTTAATAACTCTCATCTGTTCATCGTAACTTTGCTATAATTCTATGGATAAATTATGTTTTTATATATAACAGATTATTGATGATCCTACTTCACCTGAAGGTGTTCAGCAAGAACGACGTATGAAGTTACTGTCGTTAATTAATAATATAGCCCTTGATAAAGGGTTGGATGGTCGAAATTATTAATGTGATGGTTGTTTCAGACCAATTGGAATGAGTATGATCAATGAATTCTCGACTTGTTATTTCCTAATAACTCAAATATATTTATTTTCAAATTTCTTAGCTTAATAAATGTTATCTTTGTAGAAACGATTATAACAAAGTACATAATCCCTTTTTTTCCGTGAAGCCCATGGATGCGTTCGTTCATGATGAAAGAGTCATATTGTATAAGGAGGCTCTCGTTCATCACGAGAGAGTTATGATAAAAATACGTTGTAAAAGGTACTAAGTAAAAAATATATAAACATGCTTAGTGTTTGTTTAAATTATAGTTCAAAAAGGCAGAAGTTCTTTGAAGCTTTGAA